CTGTGGGGTCGGGTTTAGGATGGCTTTGGGCTTTGCGCATGACGTAGCCATGAAATGTAAAGCGACCGAGACGGCGCAGCTGTTAGCAGCCTGAGTCAAAGCAACCTCAGGGTTCTCGAAGGTTCCGGCTTTATACCAAGATCCCGCAAAACTAGGTAAAATAATGGCCAAAAACAGAGAAAAGGCAATTATTCTACATACTTTGAGGGTTTCGGGTTTAGGGGCTTTGGGTTTAGACCCTGCTCCGAATCGCCCAACGGCTGTACCATACGGGTGAAGCACAGGCTGAGGTAAGTGAAGTCCGAGACAAGACCCATGACCGTAGGAATCTAAGGACTCATACATTCAGGCTTTTGGGCCCAAAGACAATACCATATAAGGCTTTTGGGCTATTTTGATGCCCAGGGTGAATAGTTTTTAATTCGACCCTAAACCCTAAACCCCTAAACCGTTGTTCGTCCTTAATATGATGGGTTAAACAAATAGGGTTACCCGCCCTACTTTTCACTACCCATGACCCTTTTCACTACCCATGACCCTTACCCTAAACCCTAAACCCCTAAACTCCTAAATGTAAAAGAAAACCCTAAACCGGCCATGACTCGCGAACAGGTGATTCCGGCTGTCTACGCGTTGGGGAATTTAACTAGGATGCCCAGTAACCAGGAATAAAAAGGGCTCCCTTTTTGGTATTGTGTACCTTTATAAGGAACCTAAGACTATAAAAAGGCAACAAGTGACGCAAGTTCCCTGAATCCTACATGGGTAGTTCCCCAAACCAGGGTTCCATTTTTAATTCCCCAAAATAGCACGGTAAACCTTATGAAGAGGACCCGAAAGAAACTACCCACATACTCGAAACATCTGTCAACCCTAGCCGCTGTCCCTCAAAACCTATCCCTAGGCCCCAATGGTACCATAATCCGGACGCTAGGCAGGAACAGTCCTTCAAGAGTCAACGGTTGCATGATGATCTTTGAATTCAAGGTTGATGCCTTTGATCAGGCTTTCGATCAGGGCGCCTGGATGCAGTGTTTCGGATTGAGGTTTTTTTTTCAAAGCGCTTCGTTATTTAAGGGTTTCAGGCTTCGGGGATCAGGGGCTTAGAGGATTCAAGCGTCTGGAGCCATGGCTTTAGGGATTCAGAGCTCAGAGCCTGCCTTCTTTTCAGTTCGCATGTGCAACCTCCCATGGCAAGGGTAGGGCTGAGTTGAGGACTCAGCTGGCTTCACTTCACCAGAGTCTTGGGACCAGCGTTCTTGAAGGCCTCGACCCAGTTGATGGCCCAGAAGTCTGAGCATAGGAGTGGATGCAGGATGTAGTGGTAAGGCATGTAGAAGTAGCCCTTGTCACCCCACCTGAAGTTGGCACAGGGCTGTGGTCTGAATTTAGGCGCCCAAGTCCGTGAAACTGCTTGTGCTTTCGGCTGTGATTCTACAAGGCTTGCTAGCACGGGCTTCTAGACAGGAGACTCTGCACCCCAGGAGTTGCGGACGATGAAGCACTGCTGGAAGTCGTCGTAGCCCACCGCGCACACAGCGTGACCGCCCAGCTGCTTTTCATGCGGTTGGGGCATTACCATCTTACCGGTTCGGGCCACCTCTGCTGTCTGGAAGCTCGAGAGGACGGCGAAGCCGAAGACGAAAGGGTAGCCACTCTTGATGCACATCTTCAGCTGGTCCAGCGTCTGCCTAACACGGGCGTAGCCCATAACCTTGCACTTCGCTGCGATCTCGTAGGCCGTAGCATCCGGCTGCTGCTTGAAGAAGTCGGGGCCGTCGTCGTACTTCCAAACGCTCTCAGGGCACACGCCAACCTGGGCCATAGTCTTGATGCCATCGCGGATCATCGCCCCGGCATCCCGGTCAACGCTCCCCTCCACCACGCGCTCATTGTAATAGATGAACAGTCGGCTTGGGGTGAAGTCTGCGAAATCCTTGTGGTCCTCCACCGTCATCTTGTGCAGAGTGAAGTGAAAGGCTGCCGCCAAGGCGTTTGCCGTGCAGCTGCCAAGGTTTCCCTGCTCGAAGATGGGGAAGCCACCGTTCATGGGTCTTAGGTCAAGTATCTCTTTGTCTCCTGAGCTGGCTTGATGCAGCATGTGAAGAGATTGAGAAACTGAACAGCCAGTGAACAGCCAGATTCCAGCTAGGTTAGTAGCGTAGGAGGGACAGAGACAGAGAGAGAGAGAGAGAGAGAGACAGAGCGAGCCAGAGAGAGAAAGAGACAGTCAGAAACACGTCAAGGTAAAAGTCGAAAAGCCTCACCGTGCCCCACCAAATCTGGCCTTGCGTCCCTCGGTCTTCCTCTTGATATGGCTGGGCGCACTCACCGTGTCGAAGGCCACGTGGTGATCACGATGGTCCGGCAAGTCCGGGTGCCACCCAAACTTCACGTTCGTGCGCAGAGACAGAGACAGCAGGCTCGGATGTTTCTGCACATCTGCAGTCCGGAGTTCAGTACTGTCTGCATTCAGCGTACTGCTGCTACAGCTGCCCATCTTTGTTGCACAGCGCAAGGATGGACGGGCCAACAGATCCAGTTCGGTCCGACACGGCACTTGGTGGGCAAACTGTGCACATATCTATGTGAGAAACAAGTGCATGTGTGAGAGAGGGAGAGAGAGAGAGAGAGAGAGTGTGTGTGTGTGGCGGCGAGTGAGTGTTTGTCTGCTTGTGTGTTTGTTTGCGTTGTTGCTTGTGCTGTCATGTTACATACATATATGTATATATGTATATATGTATATATGTATATATATATATATGCACATCTACATATGCATGCTTAGAGAGCTTCAACGTGGAACTGTTCGGCCTTCGGATTCTGAGGTGTGTTAAGGTATAAATGATGTCAGGAACCCGGAGGAGTGATATTGGATACTACTCACGCCTCTATATGAAATCCGAAACGTTTTCAGGGCTTACGCTATGACAGCTGTTACCTCGGCTTCGGGATGGACAATCGCTTCACTACACCCGATGCCTTGTCTCCTAAACTATGTGAAACTACGTTCTGGCCGGGACGTAAGATTTCAAAGCCCGCCCGGTTGCTTGTACTAAGGCTGACATTTCTTTGCGGCACTTTCCATGCCTTAACCCTATTCTATTTGTTAAGGCGCTTACACTGTACTACCCTTACAGATCCCTTATAGTAGCCCTTATAGTCCCCTTTCAGGAACCCTATTCTATTTAGTAAGGCGCCTACACTATACTTCCCTTATAGATGCCTTATAGTCGCCCTTAGAGTCCCCTTTAAAGGAATCGTATTCCATTTATTAAGGTGCCTACACTTTCCTACCCTTACAGATCCCTTATAGTAGCCCTTATAGTCCCCTTTCAGGAACCCTATCCTATTGTCCCTATTCTATTGTTTTAAGGTGCCTACAGGCTTCGGAATTTCGGAGGTGTCCGGCCTCCAGGCCACGTCTTGTCGAGGTTTGCGGGATCAAGGAGTACCTGCCCAAGCCGGACATAAATAGGGGCCTTAATAAGTAGAATAGGGTACCCTTAAAGGGGTCTATAAAAGGGCTACCATAAGGGATCTATCAGGCTACTATAGTAAAGGGGCCTTAATAATAAGTAGAATACGGTTTTGGGATAGACTATTCTACCATAATTATATTTAATTATTTAAGTCCCTATATTCATCCCCAAAAGCCCGAAACCTCAAGCGAGTAAACCCTAGAATCGCCATCCCTACGTGAATCCGCGGAGAGCCCATAACCCTTACGAACCGTAGACCTGATTGCCGATTGCCGAAAAAGCCTGGGTGTGGATCTGCAGGTTTAAACGGTCAGGATTGCGGGCTGTTTGGTTGCGGTGGCAAACGGATTCTGCATGGATAACCAGACACTCATCGCACAATCCACCATCAGCATCCAAGCCGAATCGGTCCCGCGCACTTGCGAAGCATCGCCAAAGCCGTAAAAAAGGCTCGCGTTGCTCATGGCGGACCTGCTTGGGAGGCTTCCGGCCCAGTACCAGAGACTCCAATATCCCTTAAGTAAGGAACATTAAATCAGACCAGGGTTCCTACTATAATTTGAAGTATATTCAGTATATTCCTTAGTTAAAGGATATTGGAGTCTCTGGGTACTTATCATCATTTTAGGTTGCATCCTGAAGGCGTTTTTGGTTTGTAGGTACCAATGGTAGCTCAACCCGGCTTTCAGGCAAATGCAGCTGCGGATACCCTTGTTTGCGTATAGCGCTATGAGGAATACAAATACCCAGAACCCTTCAACTGCTCGCTAGTTACTGCTAGTTCAGGCCCGAAGGAGTTCAAACTCACACTGCAAAGCCGTGGAGGAGATTCAAAGTAGTGAAGCACACGGGGCGGCTGTGCATCAGACTTACACCGACGCAACAGGGATTCTACTGGATGCTCCAAAAGCCGGGGCTCATTCTCGTAAGTGAAACGAGTCTCAGGCCAGTATGTGGCTGTTGTAGATACTATTCAAGTTTCTTCGGGAAGCCCTAAACTTAAACCCAAACCCCAAACCTAAACCCCAAACCCTAAACTTAAACTCAAACCCTAAACCCGTTGCAGGTTGGAAGTCTTAGCATTCGGTCTACGACTCACAGCCCCAGGGCGCGAGCCCAGGATCGGAAGAAGGCTACTGTGTATACTGCTCCAGGCCCCCAACAGGACTCCAGATCCACCGGATCCTTGCCAGCTACTCGAAGCACCGCATCCTTGCCAGCTACTCGAAGCACCGGATCCTTGCCAGCTACTGGAAGCACGGGATCCCTGCCAGCTCCCGGCGGATGATGTCATGGCCTGAACGCCGCCAATCCTCCCCACGGCGCAACTTGAGGTCGCCATCGATCTGGACGATGGCGAAGGACAGCGCTGCGAAGCAGTCGCCCCGTGCAGGCTCGAGCAGGCGACACATGTCGGCCAACTCCGGTATAGCCGACAATGCTATACCATTCTTCTTACTATTGCTACTATTATTATATTACTTACTATTGCTATGATCAGTATTATTATTAGTGTTTTTAAATTATATACTATTCACTACTACTAACCCAGTATCATGAAGCAGCACAGGGTCGAGGTAGGTTCCCGAGGCCTAGGAGTGTAGATAGCTAGGCGGTGAGATCCTCTAACGCCGAAAATGGATACATAAGATCGAACATATCTCGGCTGACGCTTAGGCTGAGCACTCACTACTTCGACGAAGTGTAGAATACTTCGGCCCAGAAGACTACAGCAGCTCAGGAAACCCTAGAACCCTAGACCCTGGGTCCCAACACCCTGAAACCCCTGCACCCTTTGTTGAAGGAGCCCCTGTCTCGATGACATCAGGATTCAAAATGGGAGTTAGGATTCGGGGGACCCTTGGGGATATATAGAGACCCTCTCAATAAGGTCCCTCTCAAGAGAGCCAGAGGTAGGGTAGGGGGTCTACCACTACATAGGATAGAAGTCTGGATGATGCTTGTATGATTCTGCATGTAAACAACCCCTAGGTAAAGTACAGGCCACAACCCTAAACCCCAATATACCCATATCCCCAGACCCCAGGCCCACAACCTTCAACCCATTATGCTCGTACTGATGAGGTTTTACGAAACTAGCTAAAGCCTAAACCCTAATCAAACCCTCGTATTCTACGTCAGAGCAGGAAAGCTTGGAGCTTGGCACCGCAGCGTAGCGCTGGTACCTGGGCCGGCTTCGGCATTACCCAAAAAGCGCTCAGGACCGTAGTTAGGGTTTAGGGTGTGCCGTTTAAGGATGGTAAATTATATCCCAGAACACCAGTCTAATTATGAAGGCCCCTATATGAGGGTTTAGGGGTTGAGGCTTGTGGGTTGAGGGTTTACAGGTCAATATAGGGACCTTCATACTTACAATAGGGTTTTGGGGCCCATTGTACGACGATCACAGTAAGGAACCCACCGAAATAGTATAGGTACTCATTTAAGCCACTTTGTGCCGCTTAAGGATCAGAGCGCAATACCTGGCAGCTCATTTGTAATATCCAGTCCCAGCTAAGCCGCAAACACTAATGCCTGCATTGAAAACCAGCACTGGAATACCACGTACGCCCTCAACCGTAGACCCGAATATCCTGTATCTCAGGGTCCCTTATGAAGGATCCCTCCTTGATTTCCCGGCAGACGCCATCCAACCTCCGCACCCTCAGCCTAACAGGGGGTCTCAATTTTGACAGGGTTGCTGGGCATGCAAAAGCATAGCACAACTGCATAACTCTAATGTAACATCCCTTAGAGTGGAGAGATAAGGGTGTACTACAGGAGCCTAAACAATTGCCAATACCACTTTGGGAGCTCCTTATGACTATGATTATGTTATAATGTAGCCCAAAAGACCATTTTAACTATCGAGGCCCCTACATTAGGGTTTAGGTTCGTGGGTTCACGGTTTACAGGTTAGGGTGATAAGGGAGTTTCCGGGAATAGGGGACCCTAATCTAGGACACTAAATAGTACGATCCTTTTTACAAACACCCCAACAGAAGGTATCCCCAAGTACCAAGCCCTAATGGCCCTAATGGAGCCCTTTACAGGAACCCTTATAGTACCCTTATAGTAACCCTTTAAAAGGACCCCAAAATAAGGTCCCCCCCCCCCCCGCCCCCATTAAAGGCTCCGGCGAGACAAGGTCCTCCTTCGTCAGCTGCAGCTCCTCCTGCGCATACGTTTGAGACTTCTCAGGGTTCTGGGTTTAAGGTTTACGGTTTAGGGTTCAGTGTTTGCTTGTGCTTATGTGCTTTTTATGTCCCTGATAAGCAACGATTTGGAGAAGCTGCGGACGGTGAGGGAATTTACCATCATCTGTGGAAGGGCCTGAAAGCTAGACCTCTCGATTCGGGGTTGCAAAATAGAAGGACATCTGTGCCCAACCCTGAACTCCAAAAACTAAATCATAACCCCGAACCCGATAAAGTAAACCGCTGCCGGCGAAGATGTGAATAGACCCTGAACTGTCTGCGCTTCGGGAGTCAAGGTTTATGCAGGGGGTCGGGGCTGTTGGATAAGACAGGCGGAAGCGTGGCAGAAGGTCTGCAACTAAATGGGAGTTGCCGAAAATACAAAAGACCAAGCCGTGAAACGAAATCCACAACAACCGGAACCCTGGATTGCCGCAAGGCTGCTAAGACCTTCCCTCAGGTTTAGGGTTAAGCCTGCCGGAACCTACTCCGTTGTAGCGCCCCTGCAATGCTAACCTTGTAGATCCCTTACAGGAACCCTTTAAGGACCCCTTTACGAGAACCCTAAGGAACTGCATCTCCCGAATCTTCTTCAAGATCTCGGCTTCAGTGTTGAGGACAAGCTTTTTCGCTGCTGCCTCCGCCCGGGAGGGTCGTTGGTTCACGGTTTGGGTTTGATGCAGGAGCCTGAATAAGTGGCACATTTAATTAGGGTTTGGGGGTATGTCTGAGATCAAACATGTGAAAAAAGGGGTCCGAATAATTGGCACATTTAGGGTTTGGTGGTATGTTTGAGATTAGATGTATGAAAAAAAACTGAG